GTGAGAGAACAGTCAGCTTACCTTTATATTAATAGATATTACCTTTGGGATATATCTGTGAGAAAAGAAAAGCTATTTCAGTAAATGGTATATCTATTGTACTTCTCCACCTAAGTCAAAATACTCTTTCAGATGGCTTCTTTAGTTATATTACTTGTAATAAAAAAGATATAAAATTTCACAAAATGCTCTTTTTTTAAAACCAAATTAAATCTCATTGGTATAAAGTACTTCATGTTATGTCATAATTCTGGCTTTTTGTATTGTCCTTTTGACTCTGCTGGAGATCTGACTAGATAAAAGCGTATACAGAAGTATATATTCTCCAATTGTTTAGACATTACATCATGATAATAGCGAGTCTAATAAGATAAAATGTTACTGACAGAGCCAAAAAAAAAAAAAAAATCAAATGAGGTGTTAAAACTTTCACAGTATAATTTAATACACTATTTTCTCCACTGACAAGTATTTTGGGAATAAAAATCTTTTATAATAAATTTACTTATAAAATGAACTTGTAACACATTAGAGGCTCTATTAGATATTATCTTAGCAGAAATATCTCTTTTCACTAAGCTTCATGTATGTGAAACTACCTATGATGAAATATTTTATGTTGATTTCTATTATGACCAAAACAGTTTAAGAAAATATGGCTTGACCCAAGGCAAACCTATGAATTGCAGAGAATTTTTTCTGACGATATCATTTTTACTGCATGACATGCTTTCTTTTATTCAGATGGTTACTTTTTCCCCATTTTCAATTATCCAACACTTTTCTATTATCTAGCTTGTTCTTCCTCCATGCAAACATAATTAGAGCTGATAACAGCTATTTGAACATCTTAACTCACTCTTTTTCTCTAGAGTTGGTGTAGTAGCTCAGCCAAGCATTAAACTTCTCTCTAATTGTAGAATAAAATTGTTTTTAATTAAAGTTAATTAAAGTAGGGAGACTCCAAATGACATTATATTTCCTAAAATGCAGAATAATTCTGAATGCAACTCTGGTAGCTTTTTGAGGGTCTTCAGTGGTAATAATAGGAGAGTGCAGAAGCCGAAAAGATAGAATTGGGTCTTTTTGTCCATCTGTAATGGTAAAGTTAGACAGTGAGCTAATCTAGCTTTGTCTGCTGAAGGCTTGTTTAACAGAGGACTTGGAGTGTGAGTGAGCATGCCTGGAATACTAAAGCATTTCTAAGGGCTTATTTTTGTGTGATACCATATAAAAATAGTTAAATAATTAAACACATAACCATAACATATTATTGGTTTCTAATGTGACAATGGTAATCATCAAAAAATAAATCTGCAAGTAAGTTTAATAAATAAATATTTTTCCTTAAAAAGAGTGTGTGCTTTTTATGTAATTATGAGTAGTTACATGGCAAGATATCTCATCTAGGAGATATTCTTTTTTAATTGTAACTATTCATTGAAGATATAGGATTTCATAAATTGAGAGATAAAAGGAAAGGAGCTTGACAAATTGGTAAAGAATTTCAGATATGGCAAAGAATAACATTGCAGACCATGCAACAAAGAAAATCTATAGAATTTATTTCTGTTTAAATTTGTTTACCTGAATGGAAAACTATACAGACAACCAGGTTTTAAAGGGCCAGGAATTTGGTGAGAAAAGTGAGGCAGGTGTAACACTGAGGTGAGCCTTACATTTCTCTTGGAGGAATGTTTTAGTTTCTAAATAGCACAAGGCCAAATGACCAAGAAGACAGCCATAAAGCACATAGAAACTTAAGCTAAGACTTTGGCCTTATCAGGATCTCTGAGGATCTCTAAAGATAAAACTTGTAGTTTAAGAAAGCAGGATGTCAAGAAACTAAATTACAAAGAAAAATGAAGAAGAATGAGAGAAGTCTGGCATTGTGTCATGTTTCTCCTTAAGACATTTGCTAAATTTTATCTGGTATAGGGCTATCAGCCTATCATATGAAGTCAAGAGTAGCAGCTAAAGATATGGGCAGCAAAACGGGGTAGTTGGCAGTTTCCCAGGATGGAAGAAGAAAAAATTGGAGAAGGGACTCTAGTTAATATCACTGACTTTTTATTATTAATAAATTCACAGAAGGTTATACTCTAAAAATATGGGCACTAAGAATTATATAAATTCTTAACAAAAATGTGAAACCAGCTCTGGTCAAACACAAGCCCGGACTGGAAAAACAGGTTTGCCCCATATTTAAGGTACCTGAGAAAAAGCTAAAGGAAATCCTCCCTGATAAAAGAAAATATGTGACAAAACATCAAATTATCTCCATAATTTTCATGAGCAATAGTCTACATTTGATCAAACTTATTAGGCATATCAGGAGACAGAATCAAAAACCAGAAAACTAAACAATAATATAAGCATATCCAAAGGTGAATCTGAGTTGGAGTTATCTATGACAGATTTTAAAATAATAAAGAATAAAATGCTTAATAAAATTGTTGGCAAGATCAAGAACCTCAGTACGTAACAGGAATTTATAAATAATAACCAAATGTAAATTGTAGAATTGAAAATTTTAACATTTAAATTAAAAATTCAATAGATGTGTTTAACTACAAACTGCTAAAGAGAGGATTTTTGAACTAAGGAGAGATTATTGTAAATTATACAGATTGAAATTCAAAAATAAAAGAGAATCTATAATATACAAAACAGCATACAAGACACATGAGACACAATTTAATATCTGTAATTGCATGTATATAATAAGAGAAGAGAAATGTTAAAGAAGCAATATTTGAAAAGATAATAAGTGAGAAACTTTCACAGCCAATAGAAAGACATCAACCCACACAATCCAGAGCATTAATACACACCAAGGAGGACTGGGGCAGAAGATCAGAAAATCTAAGAACATTAGAGTAAAACTGGCCCTTTTTTCTTTTTCCCAGGTATTTATTTTATTGCATTTTAGGTTTTGGGGTACATGTGAAGAACATGCAAGATTGTTACATAGGTACACATGTGGCAGTGTGATTTGCTGTCTTCCTCCCCATCACCTACATCTGGCATCTCTCCCCTTGCTATCTAAAAGAAAAGTTGTAAAAGTAGTCAGATAAATAAAAGACATTATTTTCAAAGGAAAGATACTTTATTAGAAACTATGGAGGGCAGAAGACAATAGAATGACATTTTTTAAATACCCAAAGGAAATATACCAATCTGGACTTCTTTATTCAGCAAAAACATTCCTCAAAAAGGAAAATGAAACAAAGATGCTTTCAGACAAACAATTGAGAAAACTCAACAGTAGACTGTGCAAACATACATATTAAAAGGAGTTCATTAGACATAAGACTAATGATCCAAAGAGAAGCACAGAAATGAAAGAAGAAAAAAAAAAGAACAATGAAAGAGTTAAATATGTGGGTAAATCAAAATAAAAATATCTTAAGTAATGATGACAATAATCTCTTGTGGGGTCAATAGATATAGAATTGAAAATGGTAACAATAATAAGGTTTTAAATGATATGAAATCGTTTAAAAATCTTTGCATTGTAAAGAATGTACTACATATTGATAACTAATAAAGATTATAAGTAAAGTCAATGGACCATTTCTCTCTGCCATAACTAGATATATAATAGAAGCAAAAGTATAATTTGTGAGATGAAATTAAAATAAAGACATTATTGTACACATTGCTTTCCTATACAATCAACTGATGAATTAATAATTCTAAATGATGAATGTTCTATACCAGCACTCTCTAATAGAAATATAATTTGAGCCATAAAAGTAATTTTATTTTTCTAATGACCACATAAAAAGCAAACAGATGAAAATAATCTTAATGGCATATTTTATTTAACCCAGTAAACCTTAAATATTATCATTTCAACATGTAATAAATACAAAATATTATTAATGAGATATTTTATACCTTTTTTTGTAAAACTGTCTTCAAAATCTGGTATTCATTTTAGACTTACAGCACATTGCAGTTTGCAATAGCCACATTTCAAGTGCCAAATAGTCGCGTGTGGCTAGTGGCTACCATCATGAACAGCAGTAATCTAACTATTCATATAGATGGCATCTATGTGAATTTGATCTACTACTCTAATAAGCAGGTTAATGATATATCAGATATTAAACTTTATAGTTTATTACTTTAACAAATAATTTTCTGTTTAGAATTTAGTTATCCAGTAATTAAAATAATCTTAGTAGTTTCCTCCTGAAATACAAAGCCATTTAATGGTGTGGGTACTGAAAAGAAAAGGAATTTTTTTCTGGGAAAGAATAACATTCAATTTTTCAAATACAGTCTCATCTTACAAAAGCCTCAAAGTCTAAACCACGGTTACAGTCCTTATTATTAATTCACCATATAACCCATAGTTGAATATATATTAACTCTTTATATAAGCAGATTGACTTTTAATTCAAACCTGCTTGATAATGCAATTTAACCAAAAAGTTTACATGCTAAAATAAGATATAATCCTACAACAACTGACTAAAGCATAATATTACAAAAATGTATTTGTATTAAAAAGATAGGTTAATTAAAAAGCAACTCACCTGATTAAGGTAACTATTTTATCTTGGTATTAAAGGCAAACGAAAAACAGACTTTATAAAAATGGAAAAATCATGTACTATTCTTGACCAGATTAGCACTTATTTCTAGAAGAATGCAGATTGCCTTCCACTATAATCTATTAATTATACCTTGGGGCCATAAACACAACCAATTTCTAGAAGAGGGATACAAATATATTGTTTACAGGAAAGAAAAATATTTTCTGACCAAAAGATTGTATATGACAATTAATTTCTGGATTGTAAGAACGTAGTAACCATATAACTCATGGAGGACAGGTACACTCACTGATACAGTGTGACTCTGTGTTCCCACCCAAGTCTCACCTCGAATTGTAATCCCCATGTGTCAAGGGAAGGACCTGGTGGGAGGTGACTGGATGACGGGTGCAGTTTACCCCATGCTGTTCTCATGATAGTGACCGAGTTCTCATGAAATATGATGGTTTTATAAGTGTTTGGCAATTCCTCTTCCCTCTCTCTTTCATACCACCCTGTGAGGAAGGTACTTGCTTCTCATTTGCCTTCTACCATGATTTTAAGTTTCCTGAGAGCTCCCCAGCCATGTGAAACTGAGTCAGTTAAACCTCTTTCTTTATAAATTACCCAGTCTTGTGAATTTCTTTATATCACTGTGAGAACAAACTGATACACTCACCATTTTGCATCCTCGGAGTTTTTGTTTGGCTTTTTGTTCTAGAGTGGGAGTGGTTTCTCTATCAATCAAGAAAGAATTCGGCAGAGTTACATTAAATGTTCTCTTCAGAACAGTATGCCTTAAAAATGGACTGAGCTGTGGATATTAAAAAAAAAAGAATAGTACATTTTAATTGTAACATTCGTAAATTTTGAAACATTATTTTATATTAATCAATAATGAACTCATTAACATAAACTAACCCACACCATTTATTGATATTTTAAATGTTTGGATTCCTAGGGCTAACATATATAAATATAATTTAAAATATGGAAAGGTAAAAATAAAATAAAATATATAAAAGTTACAAGTCATGAATTTAATGCATGTTTAATATTCTTCTAAAAGTCATTTATATTTGGTAGAGGCAAAAACCTTTGGTGAAACCTAAAATTTCTTTTTAAAAAAGAAATATATATATTTCTGCATGTATTAATATCAAATAATTTTTATTTGATATTAATACATGCAAAATTTATTCCCAAAATAAATTTTGCTTCCAATGAAAGCAGATATTGACTTTCCAGATGTGTCTTCTCTCAGCATTGATCCTTTCAAAAATATTTGTTAAATGCATATTATCTGCCTATTTTCCTATGAACATGCAGTAACAAGATAAAGTCAATTTACGTTCACCATTCAACATGCCAATGAAAACATCAAGAAAGAACAAAATTTAAAAGAATTTTTAAAACTGTAACAAACAATAAACTCCAATTTCAATTGCTGTGAGGAATGTCCACGAAATTTCTTGCAAAAAGAAGCTGATTGAAGAATGAAATTAATGGAATAATCATTCAATCAATATTTTTTGAGTGCTTCCTACATGATAGGTATTAGTCCTAACAGAGCTATATCAATAATCCTCTTTTTTTCATTCTACCCTCCACAAGAATGTCATATAATAGGATATATTAGAAAGTTGGAAATTGAGATGCATTAGTTAGTAAGTACCAGTTGAGAATACTGCATTCTTAGATTTATAGTTTTTCATTGCCTATCTTTATGTAATAGAGAGTTACAGGTTTAAAGTCAGCTTCATGTAGAAAGACAACTCATATATCTCAGTAGAAATTTGGACTCAGACATTTTCAATGTCATTGCCTTGGAAATGTTACCTACACTTTATGAGCTTAGGTTTCCTCACTTTTCAAATGGAGTCAAAGCAATCTACTCTATATAGGTTTGGGGGTTACAATAATTGAGTTAAAGTATGGAAAGTAGTCTTTTATCTTGAAAGGCAATATAGCTTAGTGGTTAAAAGCCTGGACCTTTCATTGGTTGAAACCCCACTCTTGCCACCTGCCTTCTGTGTGTTCTTAAGCAACTTACTCAACATCTCTGTTCTGTGGCTTTCTAGTTGTTATTTTTCTTGAGACAGGGTTTCACTTTATTGCCCTGGCTGGAGAGCACTGGCCCAATCTCAGCTCACTGCAGCCTCAGCCTCCCAGGCTCAAGTGACCCTCCTACCTCTGCCACCCAAGAAGCTGGGACTACAGATGTGCTCCACCATACCCTACTAGGTGCATTGTTTTTTACGTTTGGAAAGTGAAGATGCTAAAATAATACCTATCTTATGACATTTTTATGAGGATTAAATGAGTTAATAATGTATAAAGCATATCAAGCCTGGCATATCAAAACCATATGTGTCTATTACTATTATCCTCCTCATCAACATCATCTTCTTGTGTAATATCTCCCAATAGGGAAATATTTGTATCAACTTAGTTAAAAATAAACTTTCATTCTTATAATGAGAGAAGTGGCAAACAGGACAGTTAGAATTTGCCCTCAGTCCAGCACTCTGTAAAGACATTAAAAGTTAATTGATGTAAAATATTTTAGCATATTATTAGGATAAAATTAAGGATATTATTATTTCCATGATCAAACTGAGAGAGCAGAGCCAGGGCCATCCAAATGTCCTACTGTTGGGAAGTTTCAATTTTTCAGATTCCTTCTTTTAAAAGCATGAACAAACAGAAACATATCTACACAATTCCAATGCAAACAATGTAGCTAAAAGGAAAATAACATTAATTTGAAGATACATTGTAAGAAGTCATCAATACTTATTTATAATATTAACAAAAATACGTTTCAGAAAAATATGTAAAACAAAAATACATTTCAGAAAAATACATAAAATTGGAACTAAATAAAGTTTGTGGGGTAATCCTTAAATTAAAAAATCTAAAAAGAGCCTTTTGAATAACTATTGAACTAAAGAGAAAAATGCATATAAATCCAATCACTTAGAAAAATAATACAAAAGGAAAAATCAACATTCATAGAACTACCCACAAACTTTAGTCTTAATCCAAAATATTTCATGATTTATAGAAGGAAAACTGGGCAACTTCCATTATTCTCTCCTCCTTTTATTTATTCCATGAGTGAACATCAAGTGGATATTATATATCAGGCACCATACTAGGATCTAACAATAAAATTGTCAGCCAAAAATACATAATCTCAGGTCTCACAAAATCTATTACCAATAATGAGATAATCATAAAATAAATATAAAATAAAAAATTGAAAAGAACTCCTAAGAAGAGGTACATGGAGACAAAATAAGAAAAATGGACCAAGTAAAGGAGATCAGAGTCTTTATTAAGGAAGTGACAATTGAACAAAAATCTGAAGAAAAGATAGGACTTTATCAGGCAACAGTGGGGAAGAGGGTCAGGCGAGGCACTCCAGACTCAGAGATAAATACAGGCAAAAATCCTGTAGCATGTTTTATTAACTCAAAGAAAGCTAATAAGCACGGAGTGGCATGGAACAAGGTAGGCATCATGAGGGATGGTGCCAAAGACCTAGTAGGCCATGTTAAGGATTTCAGTGATGACAAATTAATGAAAGGCCATTAAAGTTTATTACAAAATTGTTAAGAGATTATTGCTTTTTTGGAAAATCACTTATCATATTTTATATTAATGTTTTTATTGTATTATTGTATAAATATTAACGTTCCTATATGCACTTATCTAACTACTAAAATAATGGTGGAGCTGCCCACCCTGCTACAGCAGCCAGCATGTCTGAATGTACAATATCTGGACCCCACGCTTACTCACACACCCTTCGCTGCTCCACACCTGACTCTTCCTTGGCAGGCATGGGATGCAGGCCAGTAGTGTGAGCTGAGCACAGCTTGCCAGGCTGAGTGAGCAGAACCAGCCCAGTGGATCTGAATAAAACTCAGGCAAAGGCACCACTGGCCAGAGATTTCAGGCCAGGAAAGCAAGACCCCAAAGATCCTGCGACAATAGGATACTGATCTGCTGAAATTTTCAAAGAATTACTGCTTGACATAATAGGGACAGCAATGGGCTAAAGGGAGAGTAAGAACGTGAATTCAGGCCTTCTGTTTCCTACCACCAAACAACTTCTAAGAAAAAATGTTGACTTCAGGAAGTTAAAACTTTGCCATTCTCTAGAAATGAGGAATTAGTGTGGTATCATTGAGAATAATATACTGGAGTCTGACTACTATTGAGAGGTCCCAGGTTTCAGTCCTGGCACCATGCTCAGCACAAACTTAGAAGTAAGTATAGTCAACTTTGTTTCAGACATAGGAATCAGACCAAGAGGAGACACTAGGATGTCTGAATTTGGGAACCAGAGAAGCAGAAGAGAGGTGGAGGTATCAGGCTTTAAGTTGAGCAGAGGAAAGAAATGGAATTCTTCCTATATTATTCCCGGTAGCTATTCTCTCTACACGCTTCCCCAAAGGCCCCTAGATCTGAAGGAAACTGGGACTGAAGATTGTTCTTAGAAAGGGTTAGAAAACTGGGATAGTACCACACATTATAAAGCAATATCAATATATAATATTTATGAATGAAATATGTAAATATATGTATTTAGTGAAAAAGAAGCTTTCCTGACTTAGAATAGGCATTTAATATATAAGCTGGCATTTCAGTCAACAGGAAAAGGGTTCAAAAGTTGCCAGTACTGTAATAATCAGTTTTGTATTTGTAAGAATGAATATATAGTATATCTTCACATTATAGGCCCATGCAAAGTTAAACGTTTAAGTGTTAAAACAATCTGGAATATTAGAATAACTGAAAGAAAATAAAAATGAATATCATGCCTAGAATTTGTTTTAGGAATAGGTCCTGATACAAATAAGTATCAGAGATATTAATGTTGTTGTTTTATAGAATATGAAAGCCAGTAAAATCTTTCAAAATTTCTAGAAAGAATTTCTGACAATGTTTTAGAAATTATTCCTAACATAGAAAAAATAGAATGCTGCAACAAACATTATATAAAGCTGGTATATTTGATTCTAAAACATGCCTACTGTTTACTATCAAAAATATGCTTACTACAGCACTTCAAGTCTCATGATAAAGCTACACTTATCAAGACAATATGTTATTGGTGAAAAAAAGAAACAAACAGAATCGATAGAAAAAAAAGTCTAGATACAGGTCTTACAAACTTCACAAAAATTAGCTCAAAACAGATCAAAGATCTCAGTGTAAAATGCAAAACCAAGAAACTCCTAGGAGATAACACATAAGAAATTCTAGATGACCTTGTGTTTGGCAATGACATTGATACAGCAGTGGGGCAGGAAAGTGCTGGGAGAGAAAGGCAGGGCCCATAGTGAGGGCTCCACTCGGAGGCCTGTGCCCACAGACCTGGGTAAGAACAGGCATTTGTTTTTGTGCCCAAATATTGCATTTCCCAAGACTACCTTGTCCCACCCATCCCTAGCCTGTGCCTATAAAAACCCCAAGACCCTAACCGGAGGACACACAAGCGGCTGGACATCAAGAGGAACACATTGGCAGAAGGACACACCAGCAGACACCAGCAGATGCTGGCAGGCCATCAACCAGTGGAACAATGTGGAGTTTTGCTGGGGTGGTCAAAGGAGAGCCCAGCTTCTGAGCAGTCCTACTCCAGGAGGTAACCACCTTCCCACTCCATCCCCTTCTGGCTCCCCCATCTGCTAAGAGCTACTTTAACTCAATAAAAACTTACATTCACTCTCCAAGCTCACGTGTAATCTAATTCTTCCAGTACATCAAGGCAAGACGCCCGGGATACAGAAAGCCCTCTGC